CACGACTTGTCCGAATGGGGAGCGAGCTAAATGGATTATACTATGTTCTAGGCACCTAATATTATACAGTTATACTAATAGAGGTGATCTCATCCATCTCGTGAAGTGACCTAACTTATTCCATCCTCTTTATTTTATTTAAATTGTAGTGCTGGATTAAATATAAAAACCCGCGCATATTACTGTACCCAACTTAAGCCAATTGGGACAAATTTTAACATTGGGACAGTGTTGGTATACATGCTGGCGATAGTGGGGAGCAGCAGTAACGAGGGGTATAAAATAAAAACTTGTAAGTTGTAAACCAATATTAGACAATTAATGCTGAAATTTGTCTAAACTCCAAGTATGTAGGCTTACACTTTGTGACAGTAAGACAGTAAGACTCTGAAATATTAGATTTATGCTCCTTATTTTGTGATATAGTGCTCTTATCTGCAAATGAGGGGTATACTGTTATCCAGCCGCAGGTAACACAGAGACAAACTACCAGAAATGGTGAGGTGTCCGCGGAGGACAGACATGATCATTAGCAGGTGCTGATTAGTTGAGCGATTGGGACACGCTTATATCTGATCCCTCCACTCAGCTCATATCTGCCTGTCACTTCCTCCGATTAATTCTACCGTTTAGCTCCTTCTGATGTCATCGTACGTGGGCACGGTCGATGCCCCCGCGCAGCTGATTGGGTCGTTTTCTGTCACGTGATAAGATTCCGCGGATTTGATAGGTTGATTTTGTGCCCCGTGTGATAAGGATGAGTTGTTGTGTTGCTGTAACCGTTCTGAAATTAGGAGGAGCTAATTCAGTGGTCGGTAACTTATTACCGGGCACCTGAACGATCTGGGTGGTGGAGTGTGTTGGTCGGTGGTGACACTCGTGGGTGATGGACTGTGTTGGTCGGTGGTGACACTCGTGGGTGATGGACTGTGTTGGTCGGTGGTGACACTCGTGGGTGATGGACTGTGTTGGTCGGTGGTGACACTCGTGGGTGGTGGAGTGTGTTGGTCGGTGGTGACACTCGTGGGTGGTGGATGATGTTGGTCGGTGGTGACACTCTTAATAATAATAGATTTTAACTCAAAAATATAAACATAAACAAAAAATCTAGAGCAGGGTGATTAGAAAATTAAATTAATAAACGAACTATAAAACATCGACACACAAACACAGTGGACACATTATGTATGTTCGGGGAAGAAAGTGTACGTTAAAAGTTAAATGAGGGTTTCTAAGAAAACCATCAATTCCTCAGTTTTAAAAAGATATAATATATATTATATGTACGCCGGAAAGCTAATATCGGAATTTCTTGGCTCAGGGTCAAGATAATGTTTGCAAAGCCCATAAATACCACAACAGCAATTATACGCAATATGACTGCATCACAAGATTCGATTAACATGATCGCAACGTTGGCATATTATTATTCATTATTAAGTGAATATTATTCGCCCTGAATTTTATTTCATACCCGTTGATATTATATGTATTACGTTTTTCACATCATCAATAGAATACGAGAGAAAATCTTATGATCTAATGATATAAGCTCTTATAAGTCACCAAGAAAATAATGCGAGTAACATTTAATTAACGTAATATATATAATACTAGAAACCCGCTAGTCGAAAGCTTTTTTTTGTCAATAAACTTTCAAAATGTTACACAAATACATCATTTATTTCAAAGAAATATTTCTTTGTTCGAGGAAATTTTAAAAATCATTTATGTTTAAATTTCTCTAATCTCTATAATTATCTAGCTCTAAGTTCTGTGCTGTAGAAAGTATGGATTTTATTTGACAATGACGGCAAAGTAGTATGTATTCAGATTCTCTAAACTATACTTTCTACCTGTTCCACTAATTCTATATTCTTGAGTTTTAGTTCATACGCAGTAGTATTACCCACATAGTCGATATATTACAAAGGTTTCTAATCCTCTGTCACTACCAAATAATCCTATATACCAGATGTCATGACTGTAATGTCATGACTTCAAATTGCAAAACAGTTCTCTGAGTAGGCATAGTGTGGCTCACTTACTCACTACCTAATTAATATTGTGTCCTACAATTATTGAACTCCTAATACAGTCCGGATACCGTGTTCGTGCTTTGTAATATTGTTCACTATATAGCCCGGGTATACCTATAACATTACGTAAGGGAAGTGTTAGTTCCCGGATACCGTGTTTGTGCTTTGTAATATTGTTCACTATAGCCCGGGTACCAGCTATAACATTACGTAAGGGAAGTTTTAGTTCCCGGATTATACTGTGTTTGTGCTTTGTAATATTGTTCACTATAGCCCGGGTACCAGCTATAACATTACGTAAGGGAAGTTTTAGTTCCCGGATTATACTGTGTTTGTGCTTTGTAATATTGTTCACTATATAGCCCGGGTATACCTATAACATTACGTAAGGGAAGTGTTAGTTCCGGTGCTCATAATTATGTACTCATATTTTATGTTATAGTGTCTCACATGGTTTACTGGTTTTACATTATTATACTGTTATAAATATGCTCCTTCACTAACATTTTCGTTATATATCTGGTATTCTGTAACTCAATATTGTACCTATCCTCGTGATTCTGTTTTACGTCAAATTCTCATTTTTCTCTCTTGATTTCTTCTTTGTATGCTTCCTGCATGCTGATATGTTGAGTTTTTGTCTATTTTTACCAGGTGCAACAACGGTCATAGATGGTGACTATTGTCCTTTTGCAGATTGTGATGTAAAAACTAATTTCTAAATGAAATGAGTTGTGTAAATACACGTGCTCACAAGTCACAACACTATAGTGTAACCATGGTTACACTACCACTTGGAAACATACTGCAACACGATACACCTTTTACTTGATATTCTTTATCTTGCTCCTTTGCTCTATCTTTATATCGTTCCACATAGATGGTGTTCCCTTGACTGCATACCTTGCAAGCGTGCTATTCTTGTAAGGGTTCATGTCGCTATATTTTTGTTTCGTTGAAGAATGTGTGCTGAATGATGTTAGTTCACACTTCACACTGTCTAACATCCTTTGTCTATTTTCCCATGACACAACACATCAATCACCTGATTCTTAGTGTTGTGTAGAATGTTGATAAGTTACTGAAATTAGCATTGTTCAGCATGTACATTGTACTACTGTTGTACAATTATGTTGTACAATTGTGTTGTATTCATCTTGCGTTACTAGTTGGCAGTGTAAGTTAATCATATGTGTATACTTGTACATATGTTTTGCTGTCTGATGATCTACACTATACATAATACACTATACATAATACACTAGCACACAGGCTAAACTGTTTTATAGTATACCATTCTTTAGTTGTGTAGACAGTACGTGCGAGTGACGCTTGTTTGTTGTTTCCTAGGTTACTAGCAATTGTAATTTATACGATAATCATATACTTTATAATTCATACACTTGAGTAAAACGGCAAGAAGAAACCTTAGTGATTGCTATTAGATGATGCCATCTCAGTTGACGCCAGCATGATGTGTAGGTGCCAACCGGCCCGTATCATCACTTCTGCTATCCTATTGATATGTATATCGGCCCCAATGGTTTCTATTGGATACATTTATTGTAAATATAATATGTGTATAAATAATATACCAAGGGCACCACTGAATGTCGTAATTTGAGCCAATATATGGCCTGTTTGCAGATTCCAGTTCTAGACTGGTTTCTATAGAAACCAGTGTTGTATTTTATATAGACTCTTAGTCTAAGATAAGATGATATAATCCTAGATTCTGCATAAAGGGAATTAACCGTTCCTTCGACTTGTTGACTTGTCTCAGCCAACAAGTCAAGTTGCTAAGTAACGGTTACTTCTCAGAAGTGTTACTTCCCGTCAGGAATTCCTTGCTCCACCCATTATAGTGTCAGAGATTGTAGAAGGAGACAGAAACTTTCCTGATTTCTAAATAATCCTTGCTGATATGCTATGAAGTATTATATTTTGTACCCTACAGATACATACTTACATACTTACATACTTACATATAAACAGTCAAACCAGAGCTATCAGAATATGTACATATGAGCAGCACTAGATAGCAGTTCACCACAATACTTCCAGAGAGTTTGTCTGGTTTCCTAGGAGACATTGAAGGGGGCCGCTTGGTACGGGGTAACCACGTCACTTATGTGATGACATGACTAAATATAAACTTACCCTCACCCACCGCTGTTAATCATGTGCCCAGTGCCACTATTATATATATGTATATATGTATGTGTGTAATTATATGTAATTATATGTAATTATAAGTAATTATATGTAATTATATGTAATTACATGTAATTATATGTAATATAATGTATAAGTATAACATTAATTCATTAACATTTATTTGAAATGGTCGCCATTACCTGATAGTTACAATATGCCCGACAAATTATCAATTTGCAACATTCTTGTCATCCATTAAAAGCAAAACATTTGGAAATAATTGCTCTCAAAATAAGAATTTTATTTTATTTTTAATCTCTCAATTTGAATTTAAAGATTTAATAAGCAACAATGTCTGTAAATATGTCTATCAATTTTGGCAATTTACATCAATGACTCAACCTAGAAGATTCATAAGCGCCATCCTCCGGTGTCCCCTGAGTATGTACCGGCTAAGAAAACCTGAATTTAAATTACAGAATTATATTCGATGCAGTTAGCAACGGTGGATTCCAATTAACTTAACGGTTCACGATTTTGATCTTCGAGTAAGCCCTGAGGATTGAACTCGTGGCATTTCCAATCGAGAATCTACCGTTAGTTTCAATTAAGGTTCCTTGTTAATGCCCATAGTTATAGTCTCCTAGTTGAGCACTTTTGCGGGAAACGATATCATCGCGTATTTATAAAAAACGGCCTCAGTCTATCATTTTTCACTATGGAGTAATAATATCTAATATCGCTAGATAATACAATTCACTTCATGAACTATAAAGATCTAACTTTATTACTTTATATAGCTTTATAACAGTACTGAATGGTTAGTTGAACGAGTGATCACTACCAGCTGTGACCACGAGTGACCACTTCCAACCGTGACCACGAGTGACCACTTCCAACCGTGACCACGAGTGACCACTTCCAACTGTGACCACGAGTGACCACTTCCAACTGTGACCACGAGTGACCACTAGCAACTGTGACCACGAGTGACCACTACTAAATTAACGTGTGCAGCATTGTGGGAAGATGATGGAGTACTCCGCCAGTATCCGGGTATGTGTTAATATTTATTTAATAAATCATATTGATATTATTGAATATATGAATATATAAATTTATGTAATATCCTATCGAGGCTCATCGCGGGTTTACTACTATTATACTAAGCTACCACTACTACTACTGTAAATATTGTTGGATCAAATTGTTGCTTAGTAGATATAATATTCATACGTAATAAATATAATAAATCTATAATTTAATTGTATAATTTTCTGTGAACGATAAAAAGGAGATACAACTATTAGCTGCGACTATGACACTTCACTCAACATTCAGGAATCATCTTAACGCAGCAAATATAGTTGCTGTGATCAAGTTCAGCCTAGACTATGTTGGTGGAAGTTAAACCAATATAAGTAACCAACCTATATATAGGTTGGTTACTTATATTGGTTTAACTATATATGTGCAAGTTGGTATTGAAAATACGTCATGTTGGTATTATTTGCCATATAGCCTGACTGACAATGTTTCTTCTTTTCCCCATTTAGAATACAAAGATTAGTACATTTTAGCTTATGATTAATATTATATTTTTATCTATAGTTTACCTAGACTAGATTGCACACTAATACCAACGTGTATTTCCAGTTGGAGGCAATGTCCACACAGCCAATAGGACCCGCTCTCCGACACTCGTTTGGGGTGGCTATCAGTGGGTGTTTAATGGGGATTACTGTGGCCTACTCGGCTGGAGCGCTGGATGATATGGGGGACGACTTTTACCTCAAGAAACCCTCCACTACTCAGCAGATGATGTTTTCTGTGAGTTTTACTGGATTTATCTTACCTTATTTGGTAATTATACCGCACCCGCTCAAAGCTGGTCCCTAAGTTTTGAGCTTTTAGTATTATTCTATTTAGCGGGCAGCTTTTCGCGGGTGGATATGAATTGTGGTACATATTATACATTGTACATTGTACATAAAACACTGTACATAGTACATTGTACTTATTGTTAGGAAGGGTTTCAATTTCATCATGTTATTTGCTCAGTCGACTTTGGACTTTCACTCGGCTCATTTAACAATATCCGTATATTTCCATCAATCTGGTAAGTTTGTCAACCACAAAATTAACTCGATCCGTTTCAGTCTCTAGCAGCTTTGGTAGCATTTCTGTCAGGATTGATATTCGGAAGATTCGTAGTTCACATCGGAAAGAAGCATGCGTTAATGATTTCCGCTCTATTCTATTTCTTAGGGTAAATGTATTTGATATTCAGATAAGGATCATGCTCAACAGCTAGTTGCTAAGCAACAGCTAGTTGCTAAGCATATAATAATTTTAGATATCAGTTGTAAACACTTTGAATATGATTTATTAATGGGTCTGTAAAGATAGCATATACAAGTGTCATACAATTAAATCCCGATTTACAGCAAACCCCAAATTACCGCGGCCATTTCTTTTCTCCCAAACTCCGCGGTAAATCGGGGTATCACTGTAATTAGTGATTCAAGTGATATGTAGTTTGAGTAGTCCTACCTCTCCTAAGTGATATACGTGGTAAGTAACTAAGTTACTAAGTAACTAAGTTACTAAGTAACTAAGTAACCCCATTACCCACCAGGTATTCTCTAATAGCGTACAGCAAAGAGTACGTGCTCTTATTTGTGGGACGAGGCATTACTGGACTGGGACTCAGCATCACCTGCCTCGCTTTATCCGTATGTTAATTATTACTAATTAATTAATTAATTAATTAATAATTCGATATGATCAATGAATGGAATCTCGATCAAAGAATGACACTTATAAAGCTTTACAATTGAGAGTTACTGGATATTATGATCTATTTATGATCTATGTCAGCCCAAAATAGTTATTTTCTTAAACCTCCTATTTAACTGTAGTTCAACTATAAACTTATAAATCAATAGTTCATCTATAATAACTTAGTTAAACAAATGATCTGAAAAAGAATTACTATAAATTCCTATTGAATCCCATTTGATGATTCTTTCAAGATGATTTTATCTGAATAGACTCAATGATGACAAGACAGACAATGTTATGTATCTTGATCATAAAATTGTCATCACTGAGTCTATTTAGAAAAACAAAACAGACATTTTCTTGAAACAACAATTCGATAAACTAAGATAATTTCAGCCCTACATCTCAGAGATCTCGCCAACAAAGCATAGAGGAAAGTTCGCATCGATTATGCAACTGCAGGTACGAAAATCAAAACATTGCACATCATACCCGTCCTCCCAAATGCCGCATTTACTATATCATTATATCATTATATACCAACAATCACGCACCACGCCGCCCCACGCCACCCCACACCGCCTTCATCATAAATGGGTCACGCTTCCGTCAGGCTTTTATTTGCTGCTACTGTCTAGCAAATATCTATTCAGTCGTCAGTCGTGTGGGTGGTGCACTGGTGCAGCTATAAGTACATCCCTCCAGCTATATATCATAATAGTGCCGCTATTATATATGGTTGCTTGATAGGCATAATATATAGTGCCACGCTGAAAAAGGTGTGGCGCTGATAAAAAAAGGTATGACGATATGAGTGTTCTCGTGATTATCCATTCAATTTGAAGCCACCATGATGAAAATAGTCTTGAGATGTTGCAACACTATAGTGCTGCTCAGTTTCGCAATCTTATTGGGAAGATATACAGTTTGGGCTAAAGTGACTGGCTAGAGCGAGGCTGGTTGTAAAAAAATATGTTTGTACATCTGTGGTTTGTGAAAGGTCAGCATATTCATTTACTGAAATCAAAACCTTAATGAGCGAAATCAAAATACCATCAATAAACATGACACTATTTTAACAGGTGCAGTTGGGTATTCTAGTGATATACCATCAATAAACATGACAATATTTTAACAGGTGCAGTTGGGTATTCTAGTGATATACCATCAATAAACATGACACTATTTTAACAGGTGCAGTTGGGTATTCTAGTGATATACCATCAATAAACATGACACTATTTTAACAGGTGCAGTTGGGTATTCTAGTGATATACCATCAATAAACATGACACTATTTTAACAGGTGCAGTTGGGTATTCTAGTGATATACCATCAATAAACATGACACTATTTTAACAGGTGCAGTTGGGTATTCTAGTGATATACCATCAATAAACATGACACTATTTAACAGGTGCAGTTGGGTATTCTAGTGATATACCATCAATAAACATGACACTATTTTAACAGGTGCAGTTGGGTATTCTAGTGATATACCATCAATAAACATGACACTATTTTAACAGGTGCAGTTGGGTATTCTAGTGATATACCATCAATAAACATGACACTAATTTAACAGGTGCAGTTGGGTATTCTAGTGATATACCATCAATAAACATGACACTATTTTAACAGGTGCAGTTGGGTATTCTAGTGATATACCATCAATAAACATGACACTATTTTAACAGGTGCAGTTGGGTATTCTAGTGATATACCATCAATAAACATGACACTATTTTAACAGGTGCAGTTGGGTATTCTAGTGATATACCATCAATAAACATGACACTATTTTAACAGGTGCAGTTGGGTATTCTAGTGATATACCATCAATAAACATGACACTATTTTAACAGGTGCAGTTGGGTATTCTAGTGATATACCATCAATAAACATGACACTATTTTAACAGGTGCAGGTGGGTATTCTAGTGATATACCATCAATAAACATGACACTATTTTAACAGGTGCAGTTGGGTATTCTAGTGATATACCATCAATAAACATGACACTATTTTAACAGGTGCAGTTGGGTATTCTAGTGATATACCATCAATAAACATGACACTATTTTAACAGGTGCAGTTGGGTATTCTAGTGATATACCATCAATAAACATGACACTATTTCAACAGGTGCAGTTGGGTATTCTAGTGATATACCATCAATAAACATGACACTATTTTAACAGGTGCAGTTGGGTATTCTAGTGATATACCATCAATAAACATGACACTATTTTAACAGGTGCAGCTGGGTATTCTAGTGATATACCATCAATAAACATGACACTATTTTAACAGGTGCAGTTGGGTATTCTAGTGATATACCATCAATAAACATGACACTATTTTAACAGGTGCAGTTGGGTATTCTAGTGATATACCATCAATAAACATGACACTATTTTAACAGGTGCAGTTGGGTATTCTAGCGATATACCATCAATAAACATGACAATATTTTAACAGGTGCAGTTGGGTATTCTAGTGATATACCATCAATAAACATGACACTATTTTAACAGGTGCAGTTGGGTATTCTAGTGATATACCATCAATAAACATGACACTATTTTAACAGGTGCAGGTGGGTATTCTAGTGATATACCATCAATAAACATGACACTATTTTAACAGGTGCAGTTGGGTATTCTAGTGATATACCATCAATAAACATGACACTATTTTAACAGGTGCAGTTGGGTATTCTAGTGATATACCATCAATAAACATGACACTATTTTAACAGGTGCAGTTGGGTATTCTAGTGATATACCATCAATAAACATGACACTATTTCAACAGGTGCAGTTGGGTATTCTAGTGATATACCATCAATAAACATGACACTATTTTAACAGGTGCAGTTGGGTATTCTAGTGATATACCATCAATAAACATGACACTATTTTAACAGGTGCAGCTGGGTATTCTAGTGATATACCATCAATAAACATGACACTATTTTAACAGGTGCAGTTGGGTATTCTAGTGATATACCATCAATAAACATGACACTATTTTAACAGGTGCAGTTGGGTATTCTAGTGATATACCATCAATAAACATGACACTATTTTAACAGGTGCAGTTGGGTATTCTAGCGATATACCATCAATAAACATGACAATATTTTAACAGGTGCAGTTGGGTATTCTAGTGATATACCATCAATAAACATGACACTATTTTAACAGGTGCAGTTGGGTATTCTAGTGATATACCATCAATAAACATGACACTATTTTAACAGGTGCAGTTGGGTATTCTAGTGATATACCATCAATAAACATGACACTATTTTAACAGGTGCAGTTGGGTATTCTAGTGATATACCATCAATAAACATGACACTATTTTAACAGGTGCAGTTGGGTATTCTAGTGATCAACGTTCTAGCAGTGCTCGACCTTTCCTTCAGATGGACTGCTTGCATTACCTCCTCTATTGCTGTTCTCAATCTCTTTTTTATTGCTATCGCTCCTGAGACTCCAAGGTAATAGGCCACCATCAGTGTTCTTGACATTTTGTATTTTCTGTGAACTCATGATCATGAACACCTTTAGAGTAAACTGTAAAGAACAGCAGTAAGTTGAACAATTCAAACTGTCCGATTTGCACGATTGAATGTTTTTAGCGAGGACTTACATTCTAGTTAACATAAGTCTTGTGGGAACCTATGCATGGTAGACCACAGCAAGGCCGAGCAAGACAAAGCTACTTGTCTATGTTACTGAAGGAAGTTGGGACAAACTCTAAAGAGGAACTGCGAATCCTGATGCGGGACAGGGATATATAAAGGGGGTTATCTGGCGTAGATCGGACTTAGTTCCGATGACCGACATAGTTGATAGTAGTAGTATAAGCTTGCTGGTACGTATGTGCTTGCTGGTACGTATGTGCACAGCTATTTCACTCCACACTTCTTATCAGGTGGCTGATGTCTAGAGCTAAAGTTAGAGAAGCAGAAGCAGCATTAGATACTCTGATGGAGGAGGACCCGGACTTAGTTAATGACGAGATTGAAGTGTGAGTTGTTTCATTCTTTGGGATTGGGATTGATGACAAACTCGGTTATTGTAATGACCACGATAAATTCGTTTAATTGTAGACATCTCTTCTGTCAGTCAACACAATTAGTGATAATTATGTGACATAATTGTTAAATAAGAGGCATTAATATTAACAAGCCTCAAACTGATAATAATATAAGTCTGGCTATTTGCCAGGTTTTATTGTGAGAAAAAGAGATTTTGGAAGATTTTGGAAGGTTTTGGCTGCATTCTTGAATCTTGACCATTGACCAATCGGTGAGGTCGGTGAGAGTGACACAAGTCGCCATCAGGGTACTGTAAGAAGTATATCCGGAGGAAACTTTAATGCAATGAATATTTTTAATATGTACTACCGGTAGGACATATTCCAATTTAAGCTTTCCGCGACCCAAATTTCACTGCTTTGCCTGAATTTTTGTTGAATGACCATCTTACAAGTTCACTGAGGATGACACAAGACACGATTGAGGTATTCAAAGTTCTATTCACAAAGAAAGCTTTGATGAACGGAAAATCATCAGAATATAAAAAGATATTTTCGAAGATTATGGACAGAAGCTTTTCTGCCGTCCCCTTGACCGAAATTTCGCGGTTTCGACTGAAATTTTGACCAGTGACCAATCAGTGAGGTCGGTGAGACTGACACAAGTCGCCATCAAGGTACTGGAAGCAGTATATCTGGAGACAACTTTGATGCAATGAAAATTTTGAATATGTCCTACCGGTAGGACATATACGAATTTCTGCTTCGTTTTTCACGTCTCCACGCCCTCGAGTTCTGTTTCGTAGGGGCAGCCCTAGAGTCTCACGCCCTCGAGTTCGGCCCCTCTCCCTGATTATCCAGCTCACATACATCTTATTAACAATAGCCTCACTATTCCAGGCTACAAAGAAGTTGCAGGATGGACGTGGTCAGTGAGGAGAATGGTAGGGTTCCCTTCTTTAGTTCTCAGAACCTTAAACCTCTGTTCATCATGTGTGTTATCATGGCTCTCCAGCAAGGGACCGCCATCAACGCTGTTAGTAGTTACATTTCTTGGGTATTAGTTAAATTTCTTATAGTATTGCACATTATTCAGATTACCTTTTTTAATCTGAAGATGAACTGATTCCGTATCATTTCAAAATTACCCATAAAAGTGCAAGAAAACTTCCGGCAGATTACGCGATTCCTCCAAGGGGCCATCTACTTAGGACGTCCGACAAAATCACAGATTTTCAGACCACCCCCTCCCCCTGTCCGGGTGTGTCCAAATTTTCAAAACCACCCCCTCCCTATTTGCCGGACGTCCTAAGTAGATGGCCCCCAACCAACATAATGCCCATATTTGTGTTTTTCTAATAATAATATCTAATTATCCACATAATAGTGCCTATGTTTGTTGATGAACGTTATTGTTTCAGGTGTTAGCGGACTCTAACAGGATATTCAGAGAAATAGGATTCACAGAGCCGAGGACCTGCACTGCTGGGATGTCAGCTGCGTTTCTTTTGTTCACTTTCGGGAGTGCAGCACTGACAGATAAAGCGGGTTTGTGATGCATGAATTAAAATACATTGTCTAATCAATCGTTGAATAGTCTGGGCCGGTACCGATTGTTGTATTCTCATTTCAGTTGCCGCAACTAATTTCCAAATTAATCAGGACGAAAACTACTGCTGACGGTATTCGCGGTTCTGATCGCATTCTCCCTCGGACTATTTTCTCTGGCTGGTTTCCTCAACAAAGGACTCCACATGGCTCTCCTGACCCTCTCACTCGGAAGTTACGTCTTCTCATTCTCCATGGCTTGGGGCAGCATCCCCTGGGTCCTGTCAGGGGAACTGTTCACAGTGCAGAACCAGGGTCGTGCTATCTCTATAGTCTCCGCGGTTAACTGGACCTTCAACTTTTTAACAGTCTTCACCTGGCCCCTGCTGGTTGATGCCTGGAGCCCTAAGTGGGTGTTCCTAATGTACGCAGTGTTCATGATCCTAGGGGCTGTGTTTGTTGCCGTGTTTCTGCCGGAGACAAAGGGGTTGACTCTCCACCAGGTGACGGAATTGTTCGCCGCGGATGCTCCACAGTATGTGACTGTTGTTCACAGGGTGTCAAATGAGAATAGCAGTGGTAATATAAGGGGGGCAAGGACCCAAAATAATCAGCCTTACATGTTTTAGTTTTGTTATTTTGCTTTGTGATCGTTCATTCGCTTAAATTATGATAGATGTTATATTCCTTTATTGAAACTCAAGTCTGACAGATTTTAAAAATTGATCCGAACAAACCAATCCATCAATACCATTTGCGGGGAAAAATATTCAACCATCTAAAATTCAAAATTATGCTGTGTGTCAGGTCAGGGTTTTAGTAATAGTAAGGGAATCTTTATAATTCTTATAGTCGCGAAATTTTGGGATGATCATTGTTTTGTAGTTTCGTATTTTTGCAGTGTTTTAGTGATTGATTACAGACTTATTTAGATTATTTTGTAGTTGTCGCGTGGAGTATTTATTTTGATTTTTTGGTAAATCGTTTTTGATAAACAATTTTTGTAACAATTTTCAGACTTTTTATGACTATGTCTTACTGTCTTAACTCTAAACTAAGCCATTGACTTTCAGCTTTTTTGAGTACAAATAAACCGTTTAAAATATAATCGTTTCTCCTTGGTGTGAATACAGTTGTTGGGTGGTAAATTTTATGTATTTAAAACATTGTAAAATGTGATTGTTGAAATTCATAATTTTAACCATGCTTCATTATACATTGTCACCATAAACTTAGCTCCCTTCATTTCAAAATCAGAAAAAAAATCGTGTACCAAAAATTGCCACAAACAAATACTTAAGTCCAGCTATAAGTATAACTATAATAACTGCAGTATCATGCAATACACAAGTTTTATCGCCAATGACGGCGAAAAAGATTAAAAACTAAAATAATGTGAAGGATCGACCATAATTTATTGATATTGTCGAATTATAATATGATAAAATTGATATAATAAATGTTTGTAATATCCTAATAATTCCTATTGAGGCATATGCTGACATGCCACCCCATCGCAGGTTCACTACTACACGCAATGTCCGGTCAAATAACGTCCGATACTAGGTAGATCAGTAACATGTCCTTGCTGTGTGCTATTATTATTATTATATGCTAATTAGCTACAAGTAAAACTAAAAGTAGATACGCGTGCCTCAACACACTCCCTTACGCATTGATAATAATCTCCACATTCTCCATCCTCTTCTTAAACTCAAGTGCCTTTTTTAGTGCCTCATCTCCGGTTGCCTCTTCGTGTTGACTCATCAACTCGTGGCCTGAAAAATAAGTTATAAAAATTTACAAAATACCGAAACATTCAAAACAATGAGCAAAAATTAATCCGAATCGTTTAAGGAAAGGGCTGCAATCGAATTATGATAGGTGTGAACTGTGAAATAGGAGTATTAAGAAGTAGTTACAAATAGTAACTCTTCGTGTTGACTCATCAACTCGTGGCCTGAAAAATAAGTTATAAAGATTTACAAATTACCAAAACATTCAAAATAATGAGCAAAAATTAATCCGAATCGTTTAAGGAAAGGGCTGCAATCGAATTATGATAGGTGTGAACTGTGAAATAGGAGTATTAAGAAGTAGTTACAAATAGTAACTCTTCGTGTTGACTCATCAACTCGTGGCCTGAAAAATAAGTTATACAAATTGGTTGACTTTATTGAGAAAAAATCAGTTACTCTGCAACAACCAGCACGGGTTCCGCTCAGGAAGAAGCTGCCTTACCCAGCTGTTAAGTCACGTAGACGATATAGTTCAAGGTCTTACTAGAAATGCAGACACTGACGCTATATATTTGGATTTTGCCAAAGCCTTTGATAAGGTCGATCATCGGTTACTGCTTCTGAAAATGAAGAGATTGGGGTTTAATGAGAAGGTGGTAAACTGGATCCGATCCTTCCTGACTGAAAGGAAGCAATGTGTTGTGTTAAATGGTGTATCATCGTTTGCTGCCGCAATCCTCAGTGGAGTTCCACAAGGCACCGTTCTTGGGCCACTGTTATTCATTCTGTTCATAAATGATATGAAGCTATGTGTTAAAGGGTCTGTCATCAGATTCTTTGCTGATGACACTAGGATTCTTAAGCATATCTACAGTTTGGCCGACAAAGATGTCCTGCAGGATGATCTCAACTCTGTTGTTAATTGGGCTAAGTGCAACAACATGGCCCTTCATGAGGATAAGTTTGAGCTTCTTGTTCACAAGCATTTTCCAAAGAATTCCTTGTTTGATCATCCATTCGCCATCCAAGCTCAAACATATGAAGTGTCTAACGGAAACATGCTGTACCCCACTCAAACGGTGAAAGATCTAGGAGTGACAGTTTCCGCTGATTTGTCCTGGACCCCACACGTCAACAGGATAGCTGAACGCGCAGGAAAAGTTGCTTCTTGGGTGCTAAGTGCGTTCAAAACGAGAGACAAAGCCACCATGATGACTCTGTACAAGTCTCTCGTTAGAAGCCATCTGGAGTATTGCTGTCCTCTGTGGAATTGCTCTAAGAACAAGGACATCCAACAGCTAGAAGGGATTCTGCGTACGTTTACATTGAAAATAGATGGCACCCAGCACCTCAACTACTGGCAGAGATTAAAGGCCCTAGATCTGATGTCATTGCAAAGAAGAAGAGAACGGTATTTAATCATCAACATGTGGAAAGTTCTGCATTGCAAGTGCCCTAATGATATTGGTATCCAGTTCTCGGTGACTCTCAGACATGGCCAAAAAGCAGTTGTGCCCAGTATAGCTAAATCCAGCAGTCAACGTAATCAAGCACTACATGACAACTCATTTGCAGTCACTGGACCTCGATTATGGAATGTAATCCCAACACATATGCACACCATCGAGGATCCTATGCAATTCAAAGCGGCTTTAACGAACTTTGTGAAGTCATTTCCGGACGAGCCTCCAGCTCCAGGATACAGCCGTCGGAATGGAAACTCCTTGCTTGATTGGAGTGGTGATAAAACAGTTTCTACACTGTCCGGGGGGTCGACTTTTTCGATGGCCCGATAGAGGATTCTATGAAACCCTACAAAGTAACAAAGTAAGTAAATTTACAAATTACCGAAACATTCAAACCAATGAGCAAAAATTAATCCGAATCTTTTAAGGAAAGGGCTGCAATCGAATTATGATAGGTGTGAACTGTGAAATAGGAGTATTAAGAAGTAGTTACAAATAGTAACTCTTCGTGTTGACTCATCAACTCGTGGCCTGAAAAATAAGTTATAAAAATTTACAAAATACCGAAACATTCAAAACAATGAGCAAAAATTTAACAAAAATTGCGCCCGTTGTTTCGTTTTGGCGGACGCTAGATTTCCATTTCACATTTACTATAAATTTAAGTATAAGCTCCAATCAGCTCACTTCAATCTTCATGATAATAATATTGATAAATTATGCATCAAATACGGGAAAAAATTCAGTTCAATTGCCGTAGAACTTAACTTGTATCTGTAATTCAAGAAATTATCAGCAAAGGTAAACTATACTCGTATACACATCAATACACTACGCGTGCCACGTACAAATTGGGCGTATTACCTAATTGTAATATTATACATTACATGCATCGTATACATTAAAACACAGTCGCGCCGCGCATTCATAGATCACAGGCTATCTATACATCACATCTCCGCAAGCAATCCTCGCGCGCGCGCAACTTTTTCGTTGCTTGGTAACGAACGGAAGTAAGGAACACGACATACTCAGACCCACCTACTGCAATCTCCAAAAGCCACGTTTTTCTGCAAAAACCTCCATTTGTAACCTTTCACTATTGCCTTTTTTCAAAAGGGTGAAAAGGAAAAAATTAATCCGAATCGTTTAAGGAAAGGGCTGCAATCGAATTATGATAGGTGTGAACTGTGAAATAGGAGTATTAAGAAGTAGTTACAAATAATAACTCTTCGTGTTGACTCATCAACTCGTGGCCTGAAAAATAAGTTATAAAGATTTACAAAATACCGAAACATTCAAAACAATGAGCAAAAATTAATCCGAATCGTTTAAGGAAAGGGCTGCAAATTGCAGTGCAATCGAATTATGATAGGTGTGAACTGTGAAATAGGAGTATTAAGAAGTAGTTACAAATAATAACTCTTCGTGTTGACTTATCAACTCGTGGCCTGAAAATAAGTTATAACAAAAATTTCGCCGCGCTTAAACCACGCACGATAAATTTTTTTTGCGAATTACGATGTACTTGTATACCTTTAATTCTTTTGAGTGAAAAGTGTGACTGGAAAAAAGTGCAACATATTTATATATACTATGTTATTTATAAATGAGTGGGATTTGTGCATGGTAAAAATTGACGATTTATTTGACCAATGTAGCTTAGCGCTGCGCGCATCAACAATAAATGAATCCAGAAAATTGCGGAAAATAACTTTGCGAAGGAGGAATTTCACTGTAATTAATTAACACATGGCTAGCGTTGCGCGCAGCATAACAGACGCTTCCAATACACATAATTATAGAGGAGTGGTCTATATAAATATTGCGAACGAGCAGACTTTTGTCATCAACGCAGGTCCATCGGGCCACCTCATAAGCTCATATTGATATATCCAAACCCGATCACTTATTCCTTACGATCTTTTTGCCTTCGGCAAGAGTAGGGAAAAAATTAATCCGAATCGTTTAAGGAAAGGGCTGCAATCGAATTATGATAGGTGTGAACTGTGATATAGGAGTATTAAGAATTAGTTACAAATAGTAACTAGAAGTAACTATAGTTTTAGTAACTAGTTACTACTACTAGTACTACTAATGACATTATTTCAGCTTACCTGCTGTGATTCCCCACTGGTCACACTTGCTAAATGAGCTCGAGTGAGGTCGACCAGTGCCCGGTTTCAGGTTCTGCCAATACTCCTTGCTAGCTCGGGCTCTGACCTGTTGGACAGGTTTTATCATAATGCTGGCAAGCATGACCGTGTCCCTTATTAGTTATCAGATCTTTTAGTTATGACCCCAGTTATTACTGGAGCTCTCTAAATTATTTTGTTCTGTAGCGGTTCAGTTCTCAAAACAAAGCCTGGTCTGGGTTCTATCAAAACAAAGCCTGGTCTGGGTTCTATCAATAGAGCTGTTTTGAAATAACACTTACACAAATCTGCAGCAAAACTACATATTACTAACCCAAGGTTTGGTGTTCATCAAGAGACACTCGCCCCAGTTGATGGCACCAGCGGGCTGGTAGCCTCCCCTCTCTGCTGACAGTTCCTCACTTACTGCTCTGATGTGATACGGCTCAAACCCACAACACCCTCCAATATATCTGATACCTATGAAGAAATGGATGTACTTTATTTAGGAGTTTTGTGATGGTGTTAAAAGATCTCTCATACTCACAGGGAGCCGGGAGGTGCCTGCTAACTGATTCGAAGAGAACAGATAGATCAATAATTGGATGATGATTAATCATTCTACATTCGACTGTCACGTGACTTTTTTAACCCGTTCTCTAGCTGGTCTTGAACGACTATTCGAAACCCTAACCTTCTAATCTGATCCCAACCCTAACCCTAACCCAATCCTTAACAAAAGCATATGCTGAAACCCTAACCCTAACGAGAAATTAGACTTACTTCCTTATATGGTCATATCACGTGATCGAGACAGTTTTTCGCCAATATCTCGTCAGGGAAGCATTTTAACCCTATGTAATTGGGAGTGATTCGGAATCAGTGTCCGAAAATACATCGATTGAAGTTGGTTTCAACTGTCGGGGGCCCTTTTAGAACAATCTGGAAGTTCGACTGTAGAGTGATTTAGCACGCTCGTAAAATAATTGGCAAATATAAAGTGGTGTACACACGTTCATACACACAGTTATTCTGTTATATACAATTGTAAGCCTCTTTGTTAACAATAGTCTCGCGATGCAAAGGAGAATATTTCAACTAATGTTAAGGTTCGCTGAGACCTATTAACGGGGCATGTTTTACATTTTCTTATTGTCCTGCTGGTTAAACTTAATGTTTATTGTTTGTTGACCAGCCTCATAGAGCTAGCAGTAGCTCCGTGAGGAGCTGGTCAGCATACCTACAATTTATTGCATATTTTTTACACACTAACCTAACCAGCTGATGGGCATATTGATTATCATGACATAAATGTTATTTATAATGAATCTGGTTTCTACATTAAAACCCCAATTTACCGTGGAATTCGGACGTGTCACAGTTAAAATTTGAGTGAGTCGCCCTGTCAGGCTGTCAATAGGTGTCTAGGAGCTAGTCGGCTCGTAAATGTAAAACCACCGGATATGACCGGGGCCAGGGTTTCTAATAATAAATAATGATCATAGTTCCATACCTCAGCTCTGGTAGCTATTCCCACGATAGAAATCCTATCTTGATTCAAGTCCGTGATGAATGGATTTCCAGTAGATTTCATTCGAACTCGAATCATTTCGAGCTTATCTTGATAGCTTTGAGCTATTGTAAACAAAATTGCTCCTCTTCTCACTAACTATCGGACGATTTACGTACTAAATTTCGTGGTTTTCGAGTGTCACTATACTATTATACTAATGAACGTTATAAATTCGAGATCCTGGTGGAACCTACAGGTGGACATGACAAGGATTAAGTTTGACCCATTTTCCCGAGCTTAATTACTGTCAATAAACTAAATTATCACTTCTGCTTGAGCGAGCATGCTTTCTCTTTCACACAAAAACTCAGTTACATTCTTGAACGGTGCGAGAGTCTTGGTTATGTCTTTAGCTAACTCAGTCTCTCCTGCATCCAGCTTTAGATTGCCTAGCTCCAAGTCATCTAAAATTCTGTGCACTGCATCAGTTATCCGGTCATATCTTTCCAACATACTGCACAGCGAGCTCCAACGTGTTCTGCATAGTCAAGTTGCAGTCGGAGTTCCTTTCCGTGCTTCCATGCAGCTGACTGACGCCGAGTAAGGTATTTTGGCCGTTCTAACTTAAGACTTTTAGTTTTAAGAATTAAAGCAGCCGTATTGATCCTCCAAACCTACAACTTTTAAGAGCTAGAATTGGCCATATTTTGCCGTCAAAATACAACTTATACTGTTTTACTTCATGATTGGGCCGTAATAGAGGGTCGTCATTGATACGGATACCGGACTATCAAAGGCCAGGACCAGTTATGGTTGGATCCTGGTGAGCACGGATGGGACATGTCGTTACTAAAAATCAACAAGGATTGACTTAGGTCGTTTAGATTAGATTAGAGTGCAGGGAGAATTAACGATAGTTAATTTGGCAGGCTCTTGGATGCCTAGGATGAGGCATGTCGTTACTGGGAATCAGCAAGGGCTGATTCAGGGCACCAAGGTTAAGTTAAGGATAGGTCAAGGTACGGTCAACGCATGTTGACCGTACTCCGTCGTATTTTAATAAGGAGAATTCTTTTTTTGGGCGTTTTTAGGCGATATAAGTCTGGTCAATAGGGATTATAACCTAAGTTTGTAGAATTAAGCATGGTATTAGTAGGCAGTCTAATGTTTTGCCGCGATATGAGTTCGGCTAAGTTCGGCGAATTATTTGGTATTATGACGCAATTTAATATGTTGTCGCGATATTGTAGAATTGAGTATTTTATTGTTGGATAATTTATTATCTTGGGATCTTCGTTATCACGCTCGTTTCCGTTGTTCGCACCTCAAATTACTACAAATAATCAACGAATCTGAAGCAACGGTGACTGCTTACAAATGGCGCGAACGGTAGGATGACATGGTACAAAATTGCAGTTTAATTAGTTCAGGTAAGTAACTATTGGAAAGGGGGAAATTCAGAATGAAATAAGCCAGAATTGCAGTTGTGAGTGAGATAAGATAAATGATAAGAACTAATAAAGATAAGAGATATAAGAAATAAAAGCATCAATTAATATCGTCTAATTCAGCATGGAAAGAGTAAAAGTTAGTACGGCACGCAGAGATAGAAAGGCGATAATGGGACAGGAGGAGAATCAATCGGAAACAGAAAGCAGCTCGGGAAACAGCTCAGATAGCTCATTGGATACCAGTAGCTCGGAAGGAGAAGAAGAAGCAGAGTCTTGGAGAGTAAAGGAATTAAAACACGAGGACGAAATGGAAACAGAGGTGGAAAAAGGGGAATGGATGCAAGATGGACGGGTATGTATACCGCAATGGAGGAGATAAGGGATAGAAGAGACTACCTGAAATCGGAACGGATCAGTATTTTAGAAGAAAAGATGAAGATGTTAGAAAATACAAATTCTGTAATACTACTAATAGTAGGGAATCTACAATGGAAGATAAATAGCTTGGAGAAGATGGACGAAAAAAGATGAAAACGGGAACTAAAAGGAAAAAGAAAATTACAGATTAAGGTAAATGGAAAAAGAAGACAGATAAAAGACCCAGACATGAAAATGTAAAGTTGCCTACAGAAGAAATAAGGGGGACCTGCAGAAGAAGAGACAGTGATGGAAAGCTGGGAGAAAGATGGAAGACGGATAAATCTGGGAAAAAGACGCGTGAACAAATTGAAACAGAGGCATGGAGACGAGACAGAGGAAGAAAACACGTGAAGACATTGGAAGAAGGCACATGCTGACAATTCACAATATAGAGAGACACGTGGACACCTCATAAAAGACATATGGAGACGAGGAAGGAGACACGGGAAGACATTTGAAGGAGGCACGTGCGGACAGTAGAGAAAGACACGAGAACTCACTATAAAAGAGACAGGGGGACGAGGATGGAGACACGGGAAGACATTTGAAGGAAAACATGTTAGCATTAGAAGAGAGACAGGGAGACGAGGGAAGGAGACACGTGAAGAAATTTGAAGGAAACACATGCTAGCATTAGAAAAAGACATATGAAGGCATTAGACATATGAAGGCATTAGACATATGAAGGCATTAGAAGCTGGAGGGAAGGACAGTACGATAATAAGGGGACTGTAATGAGTGGAGACCAGGAACAGAGACATGGTGGGAGAGTAAAGACACGTGATAATCAAGAGAAGCGACAGTGAACAAGATAGATGCACAGTAAAATAAAGATAAAGAGATGTTGGAGAAGACCAGGAATGTTTGGGAACTTACCAGGTTGTAAAAGCATTCTATTAAGAGACGTTGAATCCAAAATGTTTTAAACCACTGTTCAAACCTAGAAAAGAAAAGATTTGATAGATGTGGAAGAGTAAAAATTGTGTAGATTAAATTAAGACTGGATTAAATAACTATTGGGGATTATTACCCCTAGGTAGTAAGCAAATCAACATCTCTGTTGTTGTGGCCTATGCTCCAACTGAGGGTGCAGAGGAGAGTGAGAAAGATAAGTTTTATAGGACACTCACAGATACATTTGATGGGCTACCTCGTCACGATATCAAGTTACTGCTCGGCGATTTTAATGCAAAAGTAACATCAGGCAGATATGGAAGTGAAGCGGTCATCGGTGGGGAATCACTCCATAGCTCATCAAATGACAACGGGACAAGACTTGTGGATTTCTGTGCGACGAACCAGCTTGTCATCGGGGAAACTCTCTTCGAGCACAAGAACATTCACAAGGGAACATGGCGGTCCCCCAACGGGCTCACCGTCAATCAGATAGATCATATCTGCATTGGAAAGCGGTTTCGTCAGTCACTTTTTGATGTTAGGGTATGTCGCGGGGCAGACATCGGCTCCGATCATTATCTGGTTCTAGGACTGCTGAAAATCAAACTTCAGTCAGTGACAAAGATCAACGCCAACAGGCCCAATGTGCCTGCCATTGAGCGCCTGAGGGATAGTACTACGGTTACAGAGTACAATGTGGCTCTTCAAAACCGATTTGCAAGTCTGGATAGTGAGGTCGACCTCGAGGATATGTGGCGTAATCTCAGTCAGACCGTCACTGATGTCTCACTGGAGGTACTAGGCAAAAGACCCCGGAAGGCAAAGGAGCAACACCTGTCACGGAAGACCATGAAGGATTTATTGATTGAGCGGGCACAATTTAAGCGCAAAGACCCAAACTCAGACGCTAACAGGTCAGAGTATTCTAAACTTAATAAGTTAGTCAAGAAAAGCAGCAAGCTAGACGACAATAACTGGGCAGTTAGAGTAGCTACTGATCTTGAGGAAGCTGCGAGCAAAGGTCAGCAGCGTGAGGTATGGGCAAAGATCAAGAAGATCTCTGGTAAGAACAAGAAGCCTCAAGCATCTTGTGTCCGGGAAAAGGACGGTAGGAAGATCACGGATCCCCAACAGCAGAGGGATAGGTGGAAGGAGCACTTTACTGAACTTCTGAACCCTCCATTATCAAGTGTCGACCTTGCCGACCTTGATACAGTACCACCCCAACCCCACTTTAATTCTCTCTCTTGTTCGGATGGACCACCCACCAGAGACGAGATTAGTTATTCCCTGACAAAGCTTAAGAACAACAAAAGCCCAGGAGTGGACGGGATAACTAACGAGCAACTGAAGTATGGTGCGAGTGCTCTAGTTGATCCACTAGAGTGTCTATTCAAGAAAGTGTGGGAAGAAGAGACTGTTCCTGAAGATTGGTTAAAGGGTGTGATCATTGTTATTGGGAAGAAAGGAGACACTTCAGTCTGCGGGAACAACAGAGGGATCACCTTAAGGTCTACAGCATCCAAGCTTTTTCAGATGATTCTTCTTAAGCGGTTACATGCTGGTATGAAGTGTCTTCTCAGGGAGAATCAGTGCGGATTTAGACAGAACCGCTCATGTATTGATCAGATTTATTCTCTCCGAACTATTATTCATAACTGTCTTGAGTTTAACATTCCTCTTTACATTAATTTTGTCGATTTCAAGGCAACGTTCGATTCTATCAGAAGGGACTTTATTTGGTGCAGTATGAGACACTATGGGCTGCCTGAAAAATATGTCAGAATATTTCAGTCATTTTTTGGGGGTACCATGAGTGCCGTGAGGGTTAATGGGGAGCTGACAGACTGGTTTGATGTTAACTCAGGCACAGGTCAGGGTGACATTCAAGCACCTCCTGTCTTTAATTTCTGCCTAAACTTTTCTGCATTTCTGGCTGAGACCAACAAGATCATCAGTCAAGGCGCAGTGCTGCAGAAAGAGATGAAGACGGTCGAGGAAAAGGTCATTCTGGACACCGATTATGCTGATGACATGGCTATTATGGACAACTCAGGGGAAGGCCTACAAGAGTCAACTGATCTATTAGTTCATTACAGCTCCTACGCTGGGCTCAGAATAAATGCAAAGAAGACCCAATGCATGGCTGTAAGCAAGTGCGCCTCCCAGCGACCTTTCATCAAGGATGATTGTATTGAGCTGTCGGTTGAGGGTGAACCCGTCGAGCAGGTTAGCAACTTTGTCTACCTGGGTGCAACTATCAGTGGGGATGGGACAATCAACAGAGACCTGGATGTCCGTATCCAGAAGGCTAATGGCGCCTTTCATCAGCTCTGGAACATTTGGAATAGCAGAACTATAAAGACTCCAACCAAGATCAGGATCTATAGGGCTGCTGTCCTCACCATCTTGTTGTATGGAGCTGAAGTCTGGAACACCACCAAAAAGCAGATGAAACGCTTCGAGGTTTTCCATCAAACCTCCTTGAGACTTTGAGAAGGATCCTTAGGATTAAATGGTTCTTTCATGTGACCAACGACGAAGTTCTTAGGAGGGCTGGCATCAAGTCTGTTGAGACTTTCATCAGTGCTGCCAGGCTACGTTGGTATGGACATGTAGTTAGAATGCCAGACTCTAGACTACCGAGGTTTCTGTTGAACTGGAAGCCAAATTATGGAAAGAGGTCAAGGGGCAGACCCCGTAAGAACTGGAAGTCCTGCGTACTCGAAGATGCTGCTAAGTTTACAGGCGTTGAAAACATCGACAATAACACAACAGAAGCTTTGGCTACCAACCGAGTACAGTGGAGACATATGTTACGCCGCCAACGCGATGTGTGTGATGCAGGCCACTCAAACGACTAGGAGGAGACCTTACCATGTAACATGTATGTATGTATGTAACCCCCCAGGAGCGGTAAAGAAAAGCTTATCAACATACCAGGAATCTACTCATCCGGAGAGGAGCTGCTCACCGTATCATCTTGGACAGGAAGATTTGGGGTGGCCGGGACAACAGGTGGATTGTGAAGGAGAACACGACGACGGATGACCAAACTTAAAGTTACACGTGAAGGAGGAGGGGGAGGATCACTGGAGGAACTAATTTCGGGAAATTGTACAGATCTAGGGTCAGACATAATTAAGACGGATAAAGTAAGTCAAGCCTTATATAATAGAAGAATTATAATAGACAATGGAACATAATATGAAGTGACAGCGAACAGATGGCCCACAATGGGGTTCTAAAAAGGAACAATTTTACTTAATTCTGGGAGAAATGTGTAAATTAGGAATGTGTTAATTAGGAAGTTTGTAAATAGGGAGAAATGCGTAAATTAGGAATTTTGTAAAGTAAATTGTAGTTTAAACAAAGTCTCGGGTCTTAAAGCAAACAAAAGTACGTAGAGATATAATGAACTTTTTAAAAAACAACGATTTTACAAGGTTCTGTACGTTGTGATACCATTATATATTATTAAAGTTTATTATCACATCGTGACCCCCGTTGTCATTTCACTAAGTCTCACTAGTATCGTGGCTACGATACAGCCGTGCACTCGTGCGCGGCAGGTCTACATTCTACAAGGTATGACAACTCTGATCTACATGAAGGTCAGTCTATAGGAGGCTATATTTCTTAAAGTTGGCAACTGTTAAGGAATTTGCCAATTAACTGTTAGTCCAACTTGAATAAGAGGAAACTTTGAATACTGGTTCTACAGAACTCAGTTAGTGTTTATAGATGCAGATCATTGTAATTGTAGTTGTACATCTGATTCTGCTGAACCCGAATAAGAGGAGACTTGGCAGACTGATTCTGTAGAACTCCGTTAGGAAAACATTCTAAACACATCACATGAGAAGATATGAGACCTCGATTGATTATCGATACTGGTTCTTAAAATTGACGCTTGGGACTTGATCTACAATCTATATGACTTTATCGCCATCCATAAATCACTCTACGCTGAACTGTCACGTGAATAAGTTTTAAACGTTTTCTATATCAATATAATGGCTCTGATAGACTATGAGTATGAGTGATCTAAGGCTAATCATGGATTATACAAACTTCCTGCACCGTCACTATCCGATCCTACATCCTAGCAGTAGATTGCCGGCTCATAAAAAATATAATAAGTCTTACCTATAAATAAAAAAATTCGCCGCACTTTTCACAAAATTTTCCCGCGTGTACTATATAAGTATACTATACTATATTATAATAGTATTACACAGTTTGCAGTTGCCTCTGATCTGATCTTGTATCACATCGTGACCCTCATTGTCGTTTCACTAAGTCTCACTAGTATCGTGGCTACGATACAGCCGTGCACTCGTGCGCGGCAGGTCTACATTCTACAACGCATGACAACTCTGATCTACATGAAGGTCAGTCTATAGCTAGGAGGCTATATTTCTTAAAGTTAAAGTTGGCAACTGTTAATGAATTTACCAATTAACTGTTAGTCCAACTTGAATAAGAGGAAACTTTGAATACTGGTTCTACAGAACTCAGTTAGTGTTAGATGCAGATCATTGTAATTGTAGTTGTACATCTGATTCTGCTGAACCCGAATAAGAGGAGACTTGGCAGACTGATTCTGTAGAACTCCTTCAGGAAAACATTCTAAGCACATCACATGAGAAGATGTGAGACCTCCATTGATTATCGATAATTATCGGCCGCTAATAATAATATTGGTTGGTAACTCTAGCCTGATTCAAAGAGAACAGATTGTAAAATAATTTAATCTAGGACTACTGGGAAACACCGGTCTTGTTGATGTAGTATGTACAAACAAAATTCTTATAAATTTAAAGATTTTGTCCTGACCTGCTTCATACGCTTCTCTTGCATATCTTTGCATTTCGAATCTTGTGCAAGTTCTAGGTTCAAGAGCGAAGGGAAATTCTGGTAAGTCAATGAAGCCTTGGACACTGGCATCGGGGGTCATGAACGCAAGAGGCTGGATCATGAAATGTACCTGAAACAACAATTTCGTTAATATTTTAGCTATATTCTGGCCCATCGCGTAAAATTTAAACTTAAAGAGTTTAGTTTTAGTCTAGCTTTCAGTTTAGTTATTTCAGCGAGAATGATATTAGTTATAAAACTAAAATTTACAAACCTTATCAAAACCAGCTGCTTTGACATTTTTAATCATCTTCTTAACCGCTTTTATACATCTGAATGGATCGTAATGGCAGTTGATTCCGATAACATCAGCGCCTGCTCGTGCCAACTTTACTCCGCACTCTCCAGTTGGGACACCGTGAACATCAGTATCCTCGTTGATGCAGAGACTGGCGCATACGGGAACTCCGGGCATGAAGTCTTTGACGGCTTCTACGTGCCACTCAGCCTCCTCCACATGGTCGTAGTACTGAAACGTAGCAAATTACAAATTCTGTCAGACCATAAAATGGTGCAAAGGACTAAGGAGTGAAATGTAACGGATAACAATACTGTTAGGTGGGTCCCGGGACTTGCGGGAATTCCAGGAAACGAAAGAGCGGACAAACTAGCCAGAGAGTAGAGACGGCTAACTCACAATCGTCCCAGGTCCTGAGCCATTCATCAGTATATCTGAAGGAGCGATTAAGACGGCAGTAAAGGATTAAGGAGTACTTACACGGAATCCATCTCCACAGATACAGAAACATGGCACTAAGTGAGAAGGGGAAGATCCCTCTCACAATCCTACTCACCAAATATAAGTACAGGAATCTTGGACTCGCAAGAGATCATCAAAGGTGAATAACCTGGCTCTTCACAGGACAAAGCCCCCTGGCCAATTTTACATCTCCTCGTTGTTAACACTGTCCAGTGTCCAGAAGAGGAAGAAACTTCAGAACACCTCGCTGTATAAGATACATGACCATTAGGTTGAGAACTTCCGATAATATTTTTCTGACCTGGGAAGATGTAGTCCCAGCTAAACTCAGCACGGTTATAAAATATATCGAGGCAATCAATCGCCTATTTTTTGGGAGGATCTTCTCGACGATCCTATTGACCACTATTCCACACCTAGGAAAACTTGCAGATTATTAGGGATTGACCGTCCCTGGAAGTCCCTGTCTCCACGTCGTTAACCCAGTGGGGTTGCACCAGGGGCGGTGGTAACAGACCGTCAAGACTCTTGCTTGGACTTGGAGTCTGTTGTCGATATCTATGTTTAATATATTTATGGTATATAATTTGGGATTTTGGGAGTCTCTCTCTCCATGAGCAGCAGGAGTTGGAGACATAGGGACGCGTTGTGAAAGCCACCTAAAGGAAGGCTTACAGTCGACGCCGACTAATCAGAAGAAGACTCAATACCACAGTTAAATTATGATCGAGGAAGATTTGTTAACCAGCTTAAACTCTTAAAGGTTAAAAATAAACCTACATGGACAACTCACCTCGCAAATCATAAGATCAACCCCGGTCTCTTTAAAGACTGCGCACTGTTTCCTGACCTCAGCCTGCACCAGGGCCTTGTCAGTGGTATTCATGTAGGTGGGAGTTTGGGATACTCCTCCAGCTACAAGAGATCCTTCTGGGTAGGCTACTTCTTTTACTATGTCACAGGCAGCTTGGTTAATTGCTTTTACCTGCAGACGAAGGATACGTGGTTTAAAATTAAAAATAGTTGTCAGAAGAATAAAAGCAGAGGTTCTTTGTCATAAAAACCATATAAAAACCATATACATAACCATATTTCGATTCAATATAAAAACTTCATTTGTCATTGCTGATCGAAAGTCAAATATGCACAACAACCTTGACAGAAATCGCCAGCTCTACAAAACTTACCCCATAGGAACCTGCACTGTTTCCTCGGTTCTTCAACTTGTCCTCACTGGCGTAGAAAGTGAAAGCTTGGCAAACGTCCGACCCTGCCCTCAGGAATTCTCTGTGAAGTTGTTTCACGGCCTGAACGAGGGGAAAGGTCATTATTTACTTGGTATCAAACTCAAAATAAAGCTTCAGGTGCAGATTTTACTATCTTTTAAAGTTTGGGAGCTGACATGGTAATAGTACGAAAAAAAGGTTAAAAGACTACACGTGTGCTGCTGGCGCGTGTTTGTTCTTAGCACCATTATTTGGCCTTGTTAGAATGTTGCAACTGTGCACAGAAATGGATCTGAGATCCAGTTTCAAAGTTTGAAACTGTTTTTGAGATGGAGAGTAAACTATGGACTTCAATTTTACAACATTTAGCCGTTTCAAATCTTGAAACTGTGCACAGAAATGGATCTGAGATCCAGTTTCAAAGTTTGAAAATGCATTTGAAATGGAGAGTGAACCCTGGCCGCTTATACTTTGCGTTACTTCGCGATTTGAAAGACGACTGTGGCTATAAAAGGAAAAGAATCATTCTTCCTTGTGTTCCAAATGGACTATTGAAATCACGAAATCCCTGTCTTTATAGTTATACTTATTTTTCCAACTATAATTTAAATTGTTAAATAGCTGTCGAATTTGATGTACATACCTCTGGGTGTTCAATCACAGCCTGGGGAGTCCAGGGTCCAGCTTCAACATATCCTCGTTTCTCAAGAGCGACCACAAACCCACCATCTCCAATCACTGGTCCTCTATCCAACCTCTCCAAAAATCCCTGCGATACGGATAATGAACTTATTTATCTTTACTGTAAGTGTAAACAAACAAGGGCTGCAAGATACTAACCCTTTCAAAAATAGAAAATATCAGCTTTAAAAAGTAGCCAGATTCGGGAGATTACATGAAATTTAATAAAAGAAAATTATCCCAGTTTCACTATAAGTATACTGGGCGGCGCTCAGCCTGTCATTCCGCCTAATCTCTACTCTATGATTATGAATATCTTACTATATATAAAGCGAGACGATATATATATATATATATCTGTGCCATTTTACTGACACCACGGCATCAACTTTAACGCGACTTTCCGCATAAACCGTAAAAGATATACAACTGGAACTTTTTTGGCTGGGTCAAATGCTTTAATGGCCTTCAAATGAGCATGAAAAAATAAAAAATTGGCCAAGGAATAATGATTTTAGAACCGAAAATTTGGACCCCCAAGTGGTGTCAAAAACGCCAATTAAATAGGTAATAATTATTTTAGTATTTTGAGTCTTGACACCGTTTAGGGTTATATTATACGGGTTCCTGCTAGTAAATATAATAGCCTGAGGTCCCCAGGTAAAGTTTCACTATATGATATTACTGGGCGGCGCTCAGCCTGTCAGTCCGCCTAATCTTTATCCGGAATGTTTATGAACATAATAGCCTGGGGTCCCCAGGTAATATATGATATAGTGGGACTAAGAATTTATAGAATTTATAGTACATGCAGAGAAACTTAGGCGGTGATAATATTGATGGGGAGGGTTCTATATAATACTAATAGTTTCATGATCATTATACTCATAGTCATACTCATAGTCATAGGGAACGAGCATTTTACCCCTCAAAAATCTCGTAAAGTTTACAGTTACACTTACACTTCACGACTCAGCATTCTAATGATAATAATCAAAATTTCTACTTTTTATTTTATTCAGTCGAGTTAGAGTTTTAGGTCAAATTTGTGGTTACTGTTGGGGGCATAAAAAGGGAAATGCGTAGGGGCAGAGTTCAAAGAGCAGAGTCGGAGGTGAAAAGCTATGAGGTTACCGCGTTGGGGGGGGGGGGGGGGGGGGGAAGGTAAAACTAAAAAGAAGTCTAAACTCTTCCTTACCCCGGTTGCTCGTGTCATGATGTCTTTGGTGACAAACTAATGATATTGTCCTGATATTATAATATATAGAACCTTAAAACCAATCTAACCATAATTTCGAGTTAGAAACCCAATACGTGCGATGGAACCATTACAATAAAATCGAAGTCACAAACGAACAGGGTTATAATAATTCAGGTATATAAAACCGGTTGTTTTCCTTATTGTAATCGCCTTATACAAGATTGAGCAGTCAAAAGGTATTTTTTTCAATACTCGCATACTTTTTATTAAATCACATATTCATGATTGTACTACGGGCTGGACAAAATCAGCTTTTACAGACCACAAACGTACTGAATAGGTCACATCAAAATCTAATTGCGCTTGATACTATAGTATTATTTTTTTAAATATATATATAATTTGACCAAAACCCATAATCATGAGTAGAGTGGACCGCGGCCAGTGTCTCTCTTTCCCAAACAAAATAAATGATATTAATTTGAATGACCGTCTGCAAATGCAAAATGATACCGAGATGTTAATCGGTCGCTCGCTTTTCCCGTTCATTCACGGCTTACGAATATTATCTCTTTTTGATTATAATGTCAGGGTACTTTACAAAGTCGAAATGTAAACTCATAACTTCATTAATATTAATAAGGAGGTAATTTCAACGATTTCGAAATTTAACCTTTGAAAACATTTCCTTGTGTTTAAGTAGACATGAGTATGGCACTTTTTACTCATTCAAGTTAGCATTAAATTTATATATATATATAATGCCATTTAAATGTCGTGGGAAAGCAGAATTTATTCTTAATAACGAATGAGCAAAATTCTCACCTTTCGCACGTGCAAACTTTGAGCGGACGTTGCGTGCGCATAAAATATTAAATCACCGTACATTTTTGCATAGTGGTATTTTATATATAGTTTGATAAGCGTGCACAGTTTCAAAAGATTTCAAAAAAAATAACTTGGATCACAACGTGACTCCAAAGTTGATAAAAATCGTGAAAATACCAATTTTCAGTGATTTTAACAATTTTCTATCATTTTGGGCGTGTCCTCACGTGTGCAACTTTTTTATTTTCAACTTTAAAATTATCCTATGACACAATTTAGACCTTTAGGAAGCAAAATTGAGCTCCACATCCCAAGGGATGGCCCAACACCAGAGAATACTAGATCGTAAAATTAGCGTTTTTATAAAATTATTCGTCAAAAAAGCTCTAACTTTAATAGCGAAAATCTTTATGAAGGATCAGCAAGCTAAAAAAACTTTCCTCAAATTTTGAATGTAATTACAACTCCTTGATGGTGTAAAATCAATTTTAAAAGTTATTAATTGTCAAAAGTAAAGTTTTAAAAACGGTTAACTTGATGACGACATCAAGGAGTGTTGAAGACGACTTTGGCGGCCGAGATGGCCGCCAATTTTCACTGAAAATTTTGAATTAAAAAATTAATTATACAATTAATCACAAAATAAAAACGATTTTCAATTTGATTTGTAAAATGATTTTAAAATTTAGATAAAAAACGATTTTCATATTGAAATTGAAAACGATTCTCATTTTGAAAACGATTTTGAGTTTGATTTTGATTTCAATTTTGATTTCAATTTTGATTTCAATTTTGATTTTGATTTTGATTTTGAAAACGATATTGATTTTGATTTTGAAAACGATATTGATTTTGATTTTAAAATGATAAAAACGATATTGATTTTGATTTTGAAAACGATATTGACTTTGTACTTCGAAGAAATTTAGACGAGTAACATCCGTCAATACTTACTATGCTACGCACGGTAGAGCACAGCAAGGCCGACCAAGACAAAGCTATACTTGTCTATGTTACTGAAGGAAGTTGGGACACAATCTAAAGAGGAACTGCGAACCCTGATGCGGGACAGGGATATCGATATATGGAAGGGGTTATCTGGCGTAGATCGGACTTTTTATAGTTCCGACATAGATTTAACTTTAACACTGCCATAATCTATCCGGAATGGATTAATAATTTTATAACAAATCCTGCCAAGTTAATAGAAAAACTGCCGATTTAACTTCAACACTGCCATAATCTATCCGGAATGGATTGTTAATTTTATAACAAATCCTGCCAAGTTAATAGCAAATCCTGCCAAATAACAAATCCTGCCAAGTTAATAGCAAATCCTGCCAAATAACAAATCCTGCCAAGTTTATAGCAAATCCTGCCAAATAACAAATCCTGCCAAGTTAATAGCAAATCCTGCCAAATAACAATAACTTGGCAGGCTGCCAAGTTAATAACTTCGCAATTAAGTAGGCAGGATTATCGTTAAATTCGCAGTGGCAATGGGTGGAACACTGGAACTGGAAGGGGCCTCATTTAAGAATGTGTCTAAGTCTTCACTGTGTAGTGTGTCGTAATTCTATGTGACTGGAAATTGACGAAAATATGTACGGTGTATGAATCTGAAAAGAATGTGATATATCCTGGTTCCTTTATAGCGTTTATTATTTATTATTGCGCATTGAGCTGCTGAGTGCTGTGTAAACTGTGGCCGATCGGGAGAGACTCGAGGATCGAGGGACAATAGTCTTGCTCTGGAATTTCCATTCACACACTACACCATTCACATTCTCGACAATTTCCTGGAATCTGCTTTCACAAGCATTTCTTAATCCACTCCCACTCGCCTGCTGAGTGCTTGACCACTAGACATAAAGTTGACCACTAGACATATAAAACTTGACCACTAGACATTAACTTGACCACTAGACATTAACTTGACCACTAACTTGACATTAACTTGACCACTATAAGTATATGTCTATTTTTATACCCTATCGGACCTTATTTGGACGGACATTACATGAACGGACATAATTATGAACGGACATTAATATGAACGTTCGAAGGCATTCAAAACCATCAAAAATCCGAATTTTTTTGACGTTTTTTTGACTTTTTAAAATTTCAGCAAATGATTTTTAAATCCATATTTTATACAGTTAGTAAGAAAAGCAGTCATTGAGCAGTAAAAATGTTTAAAAATGTGTACATGATCAGTGTCTAATATCACATATCATCTTCATCAAATGGGTTTTCGTGCATGAAATAGTCTATGCTTAAAGCATCAGTGATTTCTAGCTTTATGGAAACCTTTTTTTATCAAACTACCCCGGTCCTGCATTTCAGTGTTAACTTTTACAAGCCATTCGGCGTGAAGTGGTTTTATCTTAGACAACTTAAGGTTAACCTTAACATCACGTGGAGCTTTCCTAGCACTGTTTCATTACCGCCCCCGAGTAATATGAACTATAACAACGTCGGACAATGTCCTTGGCAACACGATTTACCCATAATATCTAGAGGCTGGAAGTCAAGTTTGTCATGCTGGCGGGGACTAGTTCATGAACTATGTTGTTGAGTGCCATAATTTCGTTGACTTTTTTCCGTCAAGTGACTCTTGAAAACAACATATACTAGTAGTATGAGTAGTAGAGTTTTCTGTGCCTCCGGCAGACCAAGGAGAACCTTTCCGTCGTTAACTTATTTACGGCACAATAAAGTTCTCAAAGTTGTCATATTCTGGACAAAAAGTTCGAAATGGAAAAATGTTTGAAAAAATTTCAACGGACTTTAACTTGGACGGACATTAATTAACCAGACTTTATTTGAACGGACATTAAGATGAACGCTAGGGCCTCCAGCGTTCAAGTAATGTCCGTCCAAATAAGGTCCGATAAGGTAGACATATAATAGATTATGAAATGGTGCAGTAGGTGAAATCAGTGCTGTTATTGATTGTCACTTCTCAGATACTTGTCACAAACGTCGTCGGATCTTTAGTTATTGATTTGTGTTTTGCTTGTTATTGAACAATGGACCGCTTTCTAAAACTTCCTGCG